CAATGAGGGACCCTGGCTCAGACCTTGGCCTTCACACCTGTAGGCTTATGAGAGAGGGCTCCCCTCTTTCCCATTCCCCAACTTCTTTGAGCCTACAGCCCCCAGGACAGGGCTTGGGGGGCCATATATGGGGAGATATGAGGGGGCCCCTTGCACACTCAGGCTCTATCATATGTGTGTGCTTTATGTTTCCATTCAGGCCCCAAGCACATGTGTACATGCATGTGTCATTTCACATGTGCACAGGTGTGTAGGAGTGTGTGTGTGTGTGTGGTCCCCACCCAGGCAGGCCCAGGCACTTCACCTCCAGTCACCCCCATCCCCTGAGGGTCCTGTGTTCAGGCTGGGACCTGACAGGGGCCCATCTCCTTCTGTATCCCCTCCGCACGCTGCGCCCAGTTCCCTGTCTTCTCTCTTCCTTTCTCTCTCTCAGGCAGCCATCTGTCCTCCGTGCATGGCAGGCACAGTGGCATATTTTTAAATCGGCATGACATTTACATAGCACAAAATTTACATTTTAAAGTGAACAGTTCAGTGGCATTTAGTTCTTTCACAAGGTTGTTCACCCACCCATAGCTGGTTCCAAAGCACTTCACCCCAGAAGGAAACCCGGGAGCATCCAGCAATCATGCCCCCCCCCGGCCCCCACAACCACCAGGCCGCTTTCTGTCTCTATGGATTTGTCTTCTGAATATTTCAAAGAAGTGGAATCAGACGACACGTGGCCTTTTGTTACTGGCTTCTTTTCACTCACGCTTTCCAGGTCTTGGCTCAAACGTCACCTCCTCTGAGGGACCTTCCCTGACCTCCCCTGTCCCTGAATGCCCAAGCCTCCTGCTCATAAGCTTGTGTCTCTCAGCAGCATGTGACGTAATCCTGACCTATTTGTCCCCTCGATGCTCATCCATCTCCTTCTCAAAGCATAGACTCAGAGGGCAAGGAATTGGTTTCATTTTCTCAGAAAGTTGTGAATAAAGGAAGGGATGAATGAGGGATGAATGAAGGACCCATGTGACACCCTCCCGTGTTCATCTTCCTCTGTCCCATCATGTGGCTCCCTGTCCTTTGTCGAACCTCAGATACAATTCGACAATATTTATCACACACCTACTGTGTGACAGGTCCTGTCCCAAACACCAGGACTCCTGCAGTGGATGGACAGGGTCCGTGTCCCTGTGACATCCCCACCCTCGAGGTAGGGACAGACTACCAATCCTGGGGACACAGGATTTAACTGCTGTCAAAGTTGTTACAAAGAAGATTAACTGTTCATATCCACTTATTTATTCATTCAACGAATATTTATTGAACAACAATCATGTGTAGGATCAGCATAAATAACCAGAAGTATTTTAGAGTGGAGGTTCAGGGAAAGCCTTTCCTTAGGAAGTGGCATTTGATTTTTTAAAAATTTATCTTTATGGAAAAGGAGAGTCATATAAAGGCTGAGGATGTTTGCCTGGTGACAGAGGGTTACCAGAATTAGTGGGGTGATCACACTGTAAGGTATGAAAGTGTCTCATCACTAACTGTACACCAGAAACTAATGTAACTTATAGGACATGGTATACCAACTATACTTAAATAAAAAATAAATTAAAAAATAAAATAAAATAAAAAATAAGGCTGAGGGGAAAACATTGTAGTAGAGGGAAGAGCAAGCATGGAGACCTGAGGCAGGAAAGTCGTTCAAGGAAGAGAAAGTTGGCCATGATGCCAGGGCAGTGATGCGGGATGTGGCTCCTTTGCTGCTGGCTCTGTGATATTAGGCAAGGTATTGAACTGCTCAGAGCCTCAGCTTACCCATCGATTAATGAGGATAATTGTAACGAAGCCTTTTGCAGAGGGTGAAACAAAACCCAAGGCACAAGCACTGGCTCAGACCAGGTGGCTGGGAAATGAGCCCACTCGGTCTAGGTGACAGACCCTTGGTGATCACGGTCATTGTTTGGCAGGTGTAATTCTCTCACCAGGGCTGTCCTCCCCACTGTCACCAGCTGGAGTCACCTTATCTCCAGCTTATCTCCAGCTTAGCTGAGTGGACCCTCCCACTGTTTAGGCAGAAAAGAGAAACATCTGCCTTTCCCCCCATGATTCCGCTTCATGGAGCAGTTTCCCCTGCCCCTCCCTCATGTCTCAGACAGAGTCAGAAACAGGGCCTGGGTGAGCCTTTTGCTCAGAATGCAGGGGCAAGTGGGCCCCTGTGGGGAGGTGAATTATAACAACACTGTGGTCAGTCCCCCTTCCTCACATGATGAGCCAGCTGTCCTGTGCTTGTGGGGTGGGTTTACCTATTTTTCACTCAGTCCCACAGACCACAGGATGGAGTGGGGTGGGGGAGAGACAGTTACAGGAGAAATATGCTCAGAAACTCCCCAGCACCCCCATCTCACTCAGAGAGGAAGACAGAGTCCTCACCTCGAACCATAGGCCCTGCATAACCTGCCCCGATCACCTCCCTATCTTCATCTCCTCCCTCTCTCCCCAGCCAGAGGGGTCTCCTCCATTTCTCCAACCCTCCAGGCACTTTACATGGACTGTTCTCTCTGCCTAGGGATTCCTGTCCCCCCAGCACATACTTTGCTCCCTAAAATCTCTGCTCAAATGTCACCTTCTCAGCAAGGCCCTTCCTGATCTCTTTATTTCTTATAACCCACCCACCATTACCTCTCCCTTGTCCCCTACTTCTTTATTCTCCATGACACTCACCGCCACTGATCCTACTATACAGTTTTCTACCTGTCTCTCCCACCAGGCTGTAAGCACCATAGAGGCAGGAACCACATCTGTTTTGTTCACTGCTCTTTCCTCAGTGCCTGGGACACAATAGATGATCAATAAATATTTGCTAAGTGAACAAAGAAATTTTTAGAATAAATGAATAAATCGTTATTATGGTTGACCCAGAAATTTAGCCCTGAGCCCCCTGGTGGCAGAAGCAAAAAGAGAAATAGGATTAGTTACATTCTCCATGAGGATAAAGCAACCCAGTTCGAAGGGAAAGGCCTCGTGCCAAGCCACTTATGTCCTTCTTCTCATTTAACCTTCAGAAGAAATTTCTCAAGGGAGACTGTGATGTGTGCAAGACCACCTAGCCAGGTGGGATGCTGGTCCTGCTCAGCACCTAGACCATCTGCTAACCACCAAGCCAACTTTTCCCAAACTGGCCTGATTATGAAAATCTTCTGGTTGCTGGTAAAAAGTGCATATTCCAAGCCCCGTCTCCTTGAAAGTCTGAATTCAGGAGATCTATAGTTAAACAAGGATCTCTAGGTGATTATTTTGATCAAGGAAGTTTAAACAATGGCACTTCATGCAATAGAATAAAAGAGAGACAGAAAGAGGATGGGCTAAATACCTAAATATGAAAAGCAAAACTTGAAAACATTTATAGAAACATTTAGGAGGTTATCTTTATGACTTTGAGACATGGAAGGATTCTTGAACAAGACAAAAACATACAAATCATAAAAGATTGATAAATTTAGCTATATCTGATTTTCCAACTTTTGTACAACAAAACACAACAGGAAGGAATAAAATGAAAAGACAAGAAAGAAAAAATGATGTCCATCTGTGACAAAGGATGTATATATAGAATATATAAAGAGCTCTGAGAAATCAATAAGAAAAAGGTAAATATCCCAGTAGAACAGGCAATTATAGATGAGGAAATCCAAGTGGCCAACAGATTTTGGCAAAGATGTTCAACAGAGGAATGCAGGTTTAAATCATTTTATATACTGGGTTGTCAAAAATAAAAAAGTCCATCAAAACCAACTGTTGGCAGAACATAAACTTCCTTTACATGCAAGGAACTATAAACTGGAAATACCACGGTGCCGGGACACTTTGGCCATATCAAGGTTGAAAACAGGCATCCCTTAGGATCTGCAATTCTGCTCCTGTGTACACACCATCATCTGACTTTGGCCCACAGGCCAAATCTGGCCCCATCTGTTTTGGGAAATACAATTTTATTGAAAGACAGCTCTGCCCACTGGTTTCCATATTGTCTATGGCTTTCAAGCTACAATGACAGAGTGAAGTAGATGCAACAGTGGACACCCAAAGCACATGTCTTAAGCAGGGCAGGAGCCATGCTATGATCCAAGATGGAACCCATACCCTCCTTCTGGAGGCCTGGCCACTGAGAAGTAGACTCCCCCAGTCAGCCCCCGTACCCCCTGCTGCTTCTCACAGGCCTTGCCCAGGACTAGGAGCTGGGTCAAGGCCAAGCCACTCATGCTCCCAGATAAACCCATGCTCAGCCCCAACCACCCCTTGCAGTCCTAGCCCTGCCCAGGGAAAGCCCTCAGAGGGATCCCTGGCCACCCTTGAGGCCTCCCGTTGCTCTGCCGGAGGCCCCAGTTTTGATGCGCAGTTTATGGGGCAGGGAGGGCTGAGCCAGACCCTCGGGGTGCTTCCCTGGGACAGGGCAGGCCACCCTGGGAGGCAACACCATGGGATCAACAGTGGATGGCAGTAACACATCTGAGGGCCCTGAGGCTTGGCAGCCAGTGGACACAGGAGACCAGAGCCCCCAGCAGGGCCTGAGCTCAGGTCTGGGCCTCCCATGCCCACCCAGGATGTGACAGCTGAAGAAGGTGGCTGGGAGGGCAGCTTGCAAGGCCACATCCATTCTCTTGGGGTCAGTGGGGACAGGGTCCTGGGGGAACCTGGAAGAAGTGGTCAGGCCGGTCCATCCATGAGCCACTTGGCAGGCCTGGCATCCTGGAACCCCTGCGCCCAGGCAACACGGCCCCAAGACGCAGCCATGGGAGCCAGGCAGAGATGGGAGCGGTCCAGGCCCAGGGAGGGGGTCTTCAGTCCAGGGGGATGTCCACAGCAGAGCCTGCAAGGGCAGACTCCGGGTGCTCCCAGCAGGGGACAGGAGGCCAAAGTGACCCTTGAGCGCCCTCAGCTCAGCCCTGAGCAGCGCGTTCTCCTGGAGCGCCGCGGCCAGCCTGCCCTCCAGGGCCTGGTCGTTGAGACGCCGCTTCTCCCGGGACCTCTTGGCTGCTTCGTTGTTCTTCCTCCGCTTCTCCCAGTAAACCGTGTCCTTCTTCTCTTCTGGCAGGAACTCCCGCTGCCGACGCAAGGCCGGGCCCCTGCCGCGCGCTCCCTTCAGGATCTTGCTGTGACCCTGGAGCTCGCCTGGCAGGCCCAAGAGACCCAGATCCATGGCTGCTGGGGGACCTGAGGGACAGGAAGAAGGTCTTGGACTGGCAGCAGGAGGCTGGCCAGGCTGACCCCTCCCTCCACCTTCCCCAATGGGGGACGGGTGCAGATGGGGTGGAAATTTGGCTGGAGACCAGGGTGGGGACAGAGAGGGGTGCATTTGAGAGAATGGGGAGCTCCTGGGATGGTTTGATGCCTGATGGAGACATGGGCGAGGCCGCCAGAGAGAAGCCGCGTGGCTGGGAAAGGCAACCAGCCATCACGGGGCGGGCGGTTGGGCGCTGTGTCCCGCAGAGGGTGCAGGATCGCCTCCAGCATTCTTACCGCTGAGAAGGCCAGCAGACAAGCCACAGGCTCAGTTCAGTCTGAGCTCCAGGGTGAGATTCTTGGAGGCTCGGAAGGGAATACAAGAAAGCCTGAACCTGGGAAGAGAGAATATGTGTCCGCAGAGGTCATCTGAGTCAAGTTGGGGGCAGAAGATAATTCACAACTCATCTGAACGTTGCCCACGTTGTACACCAAAATCTCCATCTGTGACCAGTGTTCCAGCTGCCCCTCCATTCAGAAGGTCACCTATTTACTCATCCACTCACTCAACTGTACACTTGTCTATCCCTCTACCAACCTCCCCAACTCACTCCCAACCCATCCATTTATCCATTTATGCATCGTCTTATTTATCTATCTATACACTCACTCAAACACTCGTCTTTCCCCGTCCAATTGTACAATCATTTATTCATTACCACCCACCCAGCCAGCCAGCCAGCCAGCCATCTAACTTGCCATTCATTCATTGATAGATTCATTTTTATAAAGAAATAATATTGTGCCTACAGGTAACAAGAAAAATAGACAAATTCAACATCATAAAAAATTTTTAATTTTGTACATCAAAGATTCTATTCACAAAGTAAGAAAGCAGCCCACCAAATAGGAGAAAATATTTGCAAATCACATATCTGATGAGGGATTAACATCCAGAATAGACTTTAAAAACTCCTAAAATTCAAAAACAACAACAAAAATCCAATTCAAAAGTGGGCATAGGACTTGATGAGACATTTCACCAAGGAAGATAAACACATGGCCGGTAAGCACAATGCAAAATGTTCAACACCACTAATCGTTAGGGAAATGCAATTTGAAACTACGAGATACCACCTTACACCAAATGTGATGGTTACTATCAAAAAAATCAGAAGACAGCAACTGTTGGCCAAGATGTGGAGAAATGAGAACACTTGTGAACTGTCGGTCAGAATGAAACATGGTGTTGCCATGTGGGAGACAGTACCCATGCCTGGACCCCCCGAAAACTCCTAGTCATGGGAGGGAGCCCAGTGCCCATGGCCAGGACACTCCTCCCCGCCCACACACACACATACCTCGACCCAAGAATTCTGGCATATGCTTATAAAAGTGTGAATATCTTAGATTCCTAAAAGGAGTGCTCCGTTCACACCCATCTTCCCCCAGGGGATGGAAGTAAACAATTGAGGAAGACACTACATGAATATTTTTTTGGACAAACCAGTGAGTGATGCATGAATGTTTTTTGAATGAACCAATGAATGTATGAGTATCTGAATAAAAATGTCGCCCCAGTAATTTTTTTATCCCAATAAATTTAATTAAAAAAAGAATGAGTGAAATATGAGTGAATGAACAAATGAGCAGATGAAGTAATGCTCAAGGGGCAGGGCCCTGACAGTGGGCACAATAAGCCTGAATGGGCCTCTCTCCCTTAGAGGGCTGGGCCCAGGTCTTCCACCACCCAGGCAGCTCATCTGAGCCCCAGCCAAGGTAAAGCCCCAGACCAGTTCTCACTCAGGGTCCCTTGTCCCAGTAGCCACAGCATCCTCTTGCCACCCACCTGGCCATATCCTGAGGGCCCTCAGACAGGGTACTGACCACCGTTCCAACTTCAAGGATGCCGACCAGAGCCCAGGAGCTGATGTGCACCAGCGTGGAGGTCAAAGACACATGCCAGGGCCATGGGGCCAATGTACCGAAGGCACCAGCCTGGCTCTGGGAGACATAGTGGGGGTGGCAGGCAAGCCCAGAGATGACTGGACCAGGGGCCAGCTAGGATGGAAAGGGAAGAAGACACAGAACAGGATCCTGTAAGGCCAATTCAAAACGAGCAGCTGCCCGAGGAAGAAGTCCGTGCATGGGGTGACAGTCAGATAGAAGAGGGACAGGCTCAATCTGTCTGCCCGAGTCCCTCCTCTCTGCGGCTTGGCCTGAGGTCCTCCTAACCACCGCCTCCCACACCTCCAGGGAGATGGTGAAGTAGATAGCTCAGCTGCCCGAGTTTATTTCGAGAAGATGCAGTGAGGGCTGGGCTGGGCCTTCCTGTGGTCACAGAGGAAGTGCTCGTGGGGGCGGTGAGACAGGGAACGCTCCTTGCGAAACAGCGGGTGGGGGATGAGGGAACAGATAGAGCTCTCCCCAGAGATGGCAGAGTCAGACTCAGCCCAATCAGCCTCTGCAGCCTCCCGGCCAGCGGCAATCAAAGCTCCACTTGGTTCCTTTGCATGGCAGGAAGCTCATTCATTCTAAAGTCAGTCCCTGCGAGGCTGGGTGAGCTGTCAAGGTAAAGGAAGCCTTCCTGGAAGGGCGCTAATATCCACCTTCACAGAACCTTTCTGTGTTGGAATTCATTCTCTCTTTGTGTCCACGAGAAACTTCTCCTCCCTCTGGCCCCGAAAACACTTTTGGGGTTTGATGCATCAACGCTCATGTTCCCCCATCACTACTCTAGTCTACTTTCCGTCAAGGAACGCTTACGGAGCACCTACTATGTATCAGGCACAAGCAATGTCACCCTTTGCACTCGCCACAAACTGAGGCTCTGAGAGGTCAAGTGACTTGAGAGAGAGAAAGAGAGAAAGAGAGAAAGAGAGAGAGAGAGAGAGAGAGAGAAACATCAATCGACTACCTCCTGTACCCGCAACCTAGGTATGTGCCCTGATCGGGAATGGAACCCTCAAGACTTTTCATGTCCTAAACGATGCTCCAACCAACTGAACCACCTGGCTGGGGCTGGTGATACAGTTTTGAGTTTGTTTGGAGCCTCTGAGGGGTAGAGGTCAGTATCCACAGAGGAAAAGAGGGTCCAGAAACTACACTGCTAACAATAGATCAGGGCTGAGATGGGCACCCAAGCTGCTGGGACCATGCAACGGGTGAACAGAGGTAAGAGCTTAATCCTGCTTCAAATGGGTTCAAATTCTCCTTCCTAGCTGAGTGTGCTTGGGCAAGTCAGGTCACCTCTATGAGCTTCCAGTGTCTCATCTGTAAGACAAGGATAATAGTAGCACGTACTCCATTGGTTATATAAAGAATAAGTAAGATCGGATGTGGTACATAATAATAGTAAATGGCCCACACAGCTATTTTTATATTTGGTGGTGGTATTAGAACCTTCTCTCACTAGACATCTGTGACCAGACCCCTGTGGTTATCTGTGTTGAGAATATCAGTGAGAACCCTCAGAGAGACCACCCAACACAATAGTGTCAGATGATAAAACTGGATTTCCTTTGAAGGTGGTGGACCAAGTACACATTGAAACTGCCCCCTCCTCTCCAAGTACTTAGAAAAGACAGGAAAATGATAAATTGAACCAGAAACCAAAGCAGAGGTGCCCAGTGGCAAGGGTGCCCCACTCAAGGAAGCACAGTGCCACCTAATATGTGAGGTCAAGAGCACACACTATCAGAAGACTCTCAAAGAGATGAAAAATTCACAACTACTTCATGAAGCTCCCACAAACTCCCCAGCCTGAAGAATTTATATCAGAGGAAAAAGAGAATATCATATAATATTAAAATCTAGTACAAAAATAGATCAAGTTACTCAAATATATAAAGGATGGACTAATAGCCATAAAACAAGAATAGGAGGTTATAAAACAAAGACAAGTAGATATAAATAAGAACCAGTTAGAACTAAGATATGAAAAATATAGTTGCTACAAAACTCAAGAGGTAGGTTGACTAGTAGAAGGGGAAACCAAGACCCAAATCTGCAAAGGGACTTACCAAGGCCACATGGAATTTTAGTGGCAGAGATGGACCCAGAACCTGGAGCCCAGGTTATAAAAGCCAAGAACTGATTTCTAACTCAGGAGATTAGGCTGGAGGCCATTTGTGGCTCTCCAACTGTGTTCTGTGGTTTCCCCTTCTCTCTTTCCTGTTTTTCTTTTCTTTCCTTGTGTTACAAGGTTGCTGCTGAGCTGGACTTCAGAGATCTTCCCTAATGAGGGACAGAGTTTCCATTTCCTGAGTAGCCAGGTTGGAACAATGGATGTGGGAAAATGGTCAGCCTTTAAATTCCCAAATTAGAATTTAATTAAACAGAATATTAATATCAGAAGAGCTGATTGAGTGAAATGGCCAATATTGGCCATGGGATGCTGAATGGGTGACTTAACATCCCTAAGTATAGATTTCTCATCTGTAAAATAGGCTCAAATTTCCCCATGACATGCAGATGTTTTGAGATTTAAATATTAAGTTGTGTGTACAAGAAACCAGGCATATCCAGGTGGTTTCAAATGCAACACTTTGCTGGAGCCCAGCAAACCCTCTTCTTTGAGCCCAAAGAATCCCAGGTGAGAACAAAACTACAGTCAGTTGGCAACGAAGCCACAAATGGAGGAGAGAGAAAAAATCAAAAACTTTTTAAGGACAGAAAAAATGGTGAGAAAAAAATAAATCAAAAAAGTGTGGGTAAAACAATATGAACCCAAAGAGGCCCACACCAAGACACATAGTAATTAAAATGCCAAAGGTTAAAGACAAAGAGATAATCTTTTTTCTTTTTCTTTTTTTAATTAATCTTCACCTGGAGATATTTTTTCCATTGATTTTTAGAAAGAGTGGAAGGGATGGAGCAAGGAGGGGAGAGAAAGAGAGAGAGAGAGAAAAATCGATGTGAGAGAGACACATCAATTGGTTGCCTCCCACATGTGCCCCGACCAGGGCCAGATATCAA